TTTAATGTCACGAGATAAACTTGCATATGTACTCATTGTTACAATAAATTATAAACTTATTTACAAAGATTAATTAAAATACAAGATATCTTTAAAACAACTCAAAATAATCATAATTAGAGAAGTAAACAGCGGAATTGCAGCTACGTAGCCATAAAATAACAAAGCTGACATTTCTTCTTGATAATTATTGGTAAGTTGTGCCAAATTCATGCAATTTACGGCAGTTGGCCCACTTGCCGATAAAATTAGGATAAACCATAACATCGGATCACCTAAATACCAACTTCTGGTAAGCAAGACTAGCACAATACCTATAGTTGGCATTATTAAAAGTCGACATGTCAGAACATAAGCAATCATACTCGCGATATGCTTATTCTTTGAACTCTGGAGATTTTTTAATTGTGCTCCAAGAGTTAATAGAGTTAAAGGAACGGAGATTGAGCCAAGGTATTCAACTGCTTGTGAAAGCGCCATAAGAGGAGCGTTTTTTCCGAAAAAAATTGATTTTAATTGAGGAATGGCGACAAACACTAGCGCCACTAAAGCAGAATATAATGGTGGATTCATGAACTTGAGTTTAAAAAATATCTTTACGCGTGACCAAATCGGATGCAAACATTCTACGAACGGGTGATATCTTTTACTGAATGCAATAAGTGGTGTCGTCTCATCGGGATCATGCTGTTTAGGTGGTACACTTTCGGCAATTTCATCAAAATTACGCCTTTCATCAAAATTATGCTGCACAATTAATGGATCTGAATTTTTTCTCAGTAAATATGCACCAAGAGACCATCTAATAAAATAATTAAAGAATGTTGATATCAAATGCATTAACTAAATACGTAATATCATAAAAATATAAATTACCAACCTTAACAAATTAGTCCAAAGTGTAGCAAGTAACACATACGAAATCCCTCGTTTGACAATAATATTTGGAGTATCATCGATATTCCATCTCAAAATCAAGATAGCATCTGTATTTTCGATACCTCTTAACAAACCCAGAGAAAGACTTGTCACATTGTTAAAAATAATTCCAGTTATAACAAATTTTGTATTTGAAAAATCAGATAATTTTAATAATTTTCCTCCAACTAAACCAAGAACTGAACCAATTAATACAAAGATGAAAAAAAAGGTAGGTATTGGCCAAAGATTTATTAATGTTTCAATAGTAATACTAGAGGCGACATTTGAAAATAAGAAACATGGCATAAAAAGATTTATGATTAGAGTAGAAAGGTTCTAATAAATGAAAAATAAATTTATTAAAGGCAAGTAGAAAAATAAAAGCACTAAAAAAAATGGGTAGCAAACCTTTTGAATGTTCGTTGTGATTAATTGAAGCTTTGCCGCTAGATACCCGGCAAGGCACACCAGAAGGACTTGTGAGCACGACTAGAATAATAAATAATCGAATTATTATTATGATAAATATTATGATACGTATTTTAGATATCAAGATCAAAAATCGTAAAAAATCGTACTTGAGCAGAAGCAAAAAATATAGAACTAAGATTAGGTAGGGCTGCATCCATGGTGTTTGTAAAGTTAAATTTACAGATTTTTGGAATTTTATCTTATATATCAATGTTTTTTGAAAAGAATGTCGTTTAAAAATCTGTCAGCATCAAGTATAATTATACGTATCTGGGAAAAAGAGAGTGATCAATAAACCAAGTTTTCGACTAGTATATGACAAATAATTAAGGTTGTACTGGGTCGTACTGACATAGCGCAATTGTTTCATCATTTTGTGAATTTTAGTGATCAATACTATATATAGAACGTTACTCTTTTTTGGGGAAATTTTAAAGAATTTTAGAAAATTACGAAACACTACTCCGATATTTCCGATACATCGATACATACAAAGGTTGTGGCACGTGATTTCTACCCAATAATGATGTGAATTTCAAATGTCTGCTAAACTTTTAAGTAGATTAAACTACGGATATCTGATAAGAACTAGAAAAAACTACGGATATCTGATAAGAACAAGAAATACTGCATCATTCGATAGAAAAAGACTGCCTTAAAAAGTTAAATATCTGCCTTTCGAGAAGCTTATTTCGTAAAATTTACGATTGACTATGATAAATCCAATTAAATGTGATAAATTCCGATTGAATGCAACTTGAGTGTAACTTAAATGTAACGTAGCACGACCATAAGATCCATCACATTTGTTTCATAAATTAGGAATCAACTGTCAAAAACTCCCTAAGACTCCCGAATGGTTTTACAATTATCAACTAATCTGTGTCCTAATCTAACTTCGAAGCGGTGCTTATGTACAGTAATCATGTCATATGTACAGTAATCATGTCATTAACAAATCATGTGGATTGCACCGTCCACTGTTCTACTGGGGGGAGATATTTCGCACTGTAATAAAAGAATCACATGACAATGTGTTGGTTCATCCAATAAGAAAGTACCAACTTTTACGCTAATAAGTTACATCAAAACAATTTCTTAATTTTTGATAATCCAAAAATTCGTTGTAAAAATGCCATTTACTTGTAACCATGGTGCTGAACTTTGTTCCGCGGATTGGGTGGCTTTTAATATTAATGATGATATAGAACCTAAAGGTGATGAAAAAGCTTACCTAATCAAATCTATTTTCAAAAATGACTTTTATCTTGTACTTGTTACGGATCTACGGCGTATTTGGTTTGAAGAATTAAGAGGCATGGAGATAATTGCACGTGCAAAAGTAAGATATCCATAATAATAACATCATGTTTTTTTCTTTTTGAATCATTAATATTGATTTAATAATGCTATTAAGGAGATAGAAACAGGTTTAGATATTACGGATGAACTTCAATTACCAAATTTGTTAACACTTCTCTCTGAACTTTTGAAAGTTCAAAGAGAGGATTCAACATATGATGTCGAACTAGTCAACAACAAGGCAACAATGCCTTTTTTTTCTCATGCTTCATTTAATTACCAACATGCTAATAATATATGTCACAGTTACTAATATCATCATATCATATAGTTCAATTTAAAAACATCAATAAATCTCGGGTTGGCATCTCTTCGATGGTTGTTTTCATGTGAAATGATATCATTATCACGAGAAACCGAAAATATGGAGATTAATGCTCTCGATGAACAATCAGTTCTTTATCAACATTTTATACTACCTATGATGCATATTACGTTAGAATATAGAGAGCAAGTGAACCTCTTAAAAACTATGATTAAGGATAAAGAAAATGATGTGACTGAAATGCTAGAATTATTAAATAAAGCAAAATTATCTGATTGTGATAGAAGTAAGCGATTTCAACTTCATATCAACTAATTGTATTAATCTTAACATAATTAATCTTAATTTTATATCGATATCGTTAAAGAACACAAGACTGAACCGTTTGATGAAGAAAAACTAGATCAAATTATGAAAAATGTATAACATAATCATTTTTAATTTCTCGAATCTACAATCAAATTTATTATCGTTATTTAATAATAACATTTTTAAAGAAAATAATGCATCCTGTAGATCACTTAAATCAGATTTTTTCCGATTCTAAGACCAGTTTATTGTTCAAGAATGCATCAGAAAAATCTATTCCACGACCACTCATTGATCAAGATATTGGCCAACTAGCGGATTTGGATTCTTCATTTTTCTCTACAAAACGAATCCAAAGCTTATCTGCTCCTCCTAATACTCAAGCAAACTCGGGTACCGATTTCGATCAAGCTTCTACTTTAGATGTGGATGATTTAGCTGCGTGGGG